TTAAATCCGATTGAGAACCTCTGGTGGGACTTAAAGAAAGCAGTTGCAGTGCGCAAGCCTAAGAATGTGACTGAACTGGAGGCCTTTGCCCATGAAGAATGGCGAAGATACCCGTAGATCGCTGCAAGACACTTGTGTCAAGCTATGCTTCACGTTTAAAAAGCTGTTATAACTGTAAAAGGATGCTGTACTAAGTACTAAGATTGAATGTCACTTGGGGGTTGAATAAAACTGATAATGCTGTGAGCACAGAAAAGACATTTGTGGTTATTTCATTATAACTGTTATGTTTATATTTGTCTGACCTACAAGTGCCTCTTTAATGTAAATGTAAGCAAGATGACTGAATGATCAAAAGCAATGTCAAACTGGCCAAAACACTCAATTTCAGTGGGGGTTGAATAATTTTGGTCACAACTGTACATGTCTTCTGTATTGTGCCCCCCCTCCCCGTATACCACATACATGTCTTTCTGTATTATGCCCCCCCCTCCCTGTATACCACACACATGTCTTCTGTATTATACCCCCCTCCCCATATACCCACATACATGTCCTCTGTATCATACCCCCCCCTCCCCGTATACTTTAATTATACACACGAGAGACATATGAATAACACTCATATATGACACATTTAAAGTTCAACCAACAATACAAAATTTCCATGACACCGTATACCACACATGTCTTCTGTATTATATGCCCCCCCTCCCTGTATACCACACATGTCTTCTGTATTATACCCCCCTCCCCGTATACCACATACATGTCCTCTGTATTATTCCCCCTCCCCTCCTCCCCGGTATTATACCCCCCCTCCCCGTATACCACATACATGTCATCTGTATTATACCCCCCCCCCCCGTATACCACATACCCTGTATACCACACACATGTCTCTTCTCATGTTGCTGTTCTTCTCTGGTAACTGCATCTATCTCCTATCTCCGCTCTTAACCAGAAAAACGCATTGACTCCAGTTATATTCAGAACAAACGGTGTATTTATATCTGTGTGTGATGACCAGTCCTCACCTCCAGCTGCACCCGGTATATGACTGTAGCCTGTTCCCTGAGAACCATCCCCCACTATTCATGTGATCCTGATCAGCTTCTAATTGGGGTGGAGTTGAATGCTCATTTGAGCATCTCCCTATAAATTTAGATCAGCTCATGGGGGGAGATCACTGATGGGGGGCACAGTCTCTGATGGGGGCAGATCACTGATGGGGGGCACAGTCTCTGATGGGGGGAGATCACTGATGGGGGGGCACAGTCTCTGATGGGGGGAGATCACTGATGGGGGGCAAGTCTCTGATGGGGGGCAGATCACTGATGGGGGGCACAGTCTCTGATGGGGGGAGATCACTGATGGGGGCACAGTCTCTGATGGGGGGGGGAGATCACTGATGGGGGGCAAGTCTCTGATGGGGGGCAGATCACTGATGGGGGGCAAGTCTCTGATGGGGGTGCTGCTTCTGATTGAGTGCTGCGTTGAAGGAGTGCGATGCAGTTAAACACAGCAGTTGAACTAAAGCAGGAGAACTCAAGCAGCAGGAAGACACAACAACAAGAAACTCTCCTGCACGCTGGACAGACTGCAAGCAATCACCCCAGGAAACATCTCTTACATACCTGAGTCCCACTCCGTGTACCTTTATATAATACTCCCCTCTTCTCCTCTTCATATTACTATCCTCTGTTCCAAATCTCATTTCTTTACCCCTCTGCTCCACCCCAAAACTTGTACATCTCCCCCTCATTGCTATCATCTCCCTACTACTGCTCTCATCACCTCCCCAAAATGCCTCTTCCACTCCTCCTTCTCATTTTCCTCTCCTCCGTTCCCAAAATCCATTCACTATATCCCTCTGCCCCTCCCAAACATTTGTATATTGTGTCCTCACTGCTTCCCTCACCCCTCTATGGCACCCCCCACCTCCTCCTATTACTCCTCTCCCCACTGACCCCAACACCTCCACCTAGTAGTTTCTCACGCTCCTGCACATCCCGCTCCCATGCCACCTTTCTCACCCTTCTCCTCCTCCTAGCCGGGGGACATCTCCCCGAATCCTGGCCCTCCACCACCTCCCTCACCCACACAAACACCCCCTCCCGCCTCCACGTCCTACCGCAACCCCCGCAACTTAGTATCTGTCCCCCTGCTCCCTAAAATCTCCCCCCCGTTTTCATGTGCACTCCTGAACGCCCGATCGGTGTGCAACAAGCTTACCGCCATCCACGACCTCTTTGTTTCCGGCTCCCTCAACCTCCTAGCGATCACAGAAACCTGGATCCAGCCCACTGACTCCACCTCCCCCCCTGCTGCACTCTCCTACGGAGGTCTCACCTGGACCCACTCACCCAGACCCAACGGTCGTAAAGGTGGTGGGGTTGGTCTGCTCCTGTCACCGCAGAGCACCTTCCGAGTCCTCCCAAACCCCCCCCTCCCTATCCTTCTCCTCCTTCGAGGCCCACTGCGTCCGACTATTCTCCCCAACCCCCCTGAAGATTGCTGTGATATACCGGCCCCCATACCCCGCTTCCTGGATGACTTCTCCTCCTGGATCCATACCCCCGCTTCCTGGATGACTTCTCCTCCTGGATCCATACCCCGCTTCCTGGATGACTTCTCCTCCTGATCCATACCCCCTCCTGGATGATTTCCCCTGGACCATACTCCGCTCCTGGATGACTCCTCCTCCTGGATCCATACCCCCCTGGATGACTTCTCCTCCTGGCTACCCTTCTCCTCTCCTCTGAGCTACCCACCATCATCCTTGGGGATTTCAACATCCCTGTCAACCTCGACAACCCGGACACATCCCGTCTCCTCCACTTAACCTCCTCCTTTGCACTTGCACAGTGCATACAATCCACCACCCACTCCAACGGTAATATATCCTTGATCCTTGTCTTCTCCAACCGCTGCTGCGCTCCCCACAACCTCACTAACACCCCCTTCCCTCTCTCTGACCACAACCTGATCACCTTCTCTATCTCCTCGTCCTCCAACGCCTACCCCTCCAAATGTCACACTACTACCAGCCGTAACCTCCGCAACCTTAACCCTGCCCCCCTCCCACTCTGCAGCAGCTGATCAACTCCATGACCAGCATCCTCCCCCTGTCCTGCCCCGACTTGGCTATGACCGCCTACAACAACGCGCTGTCAACAGCCCTTGACTCACTAGCGCCTTTAACCACACGCAAACATCAGACCCCGACCGCTCCAGCCCTGGCAGGCAGACTGATCACACCAAAACCCTCAAACGACACAGTCGTGCCCTGGAGCGACTATGGCGCAAAACCAAATCCCAACAAGCCTTCACCCCGCTACAAATCTGCCTTCCACACCTACACCTCCTCCCTCCATACTGCCAAACAAGCCTACTTCCTGACCCTCATCAAGGCCCTCTCCTCCAATCCTCGCCGACTCTTCTCCACCTTCAACTCTCTACTCTCTCCACCCCCACCTCCACCCAGCACCTCACTCACTGCCCTTGAGATTGCCAAATCACTTCAAAAACAAGATTGACACAATTCGCAAGGACATTGCCGCAACTCACACGCCCCTCTCAACCCGTCCCCTCTCACACACAGCTACCCCCTCATCCCCCCTCCCCCTCGACATAACCCGCAGGGACTTCGTCGCTGCTCAAAACTCCCTCCAACCCCCTTCCCCCTCACTCAACTACCCCCTCATCACCCCTCTCCCACGGCCCCACCACTGCTCTGACCTCCTCTTCCACCCCACCCCACATTCCTCATACTGAAGCCCCCCCAACACTCCGCACCTTTGACCTTACTACCATCGAGGAAGTCTCCAAGATCCTCTCTGATGCCCGCCTCACCACCTGCCCCCTCGACCCTATCCCCTCACAACTCCTACGACCTCCCTCCCCCTCCATCCTACGCTCCCTCACCCACATCTTCAATCTCTCCCTCTCCTCCGGCACTTTCCCTCCCCTCTGAAACATGCACACATCACCCCCCCCATACTTAAAAAGCCCTCCCTGGACCCCAATGACCCGAACAACCTCAGACCCATCTCCCTGCTCCCATTTACATCTAAACTCCTCGAGCGCCTAGTCTACACCCCGCCCCTATGCTCTCACCTCAACGACAACAACCTCCTCGATCCCCTACAGTCCGGCTTCCGTCCCCTACACTCCACCGAAACTGCCCCTACACTCCACCAAAACCCTTCCCCTACACTCCACCGAAACTGCCCTACACTCCACCGAAACCGCCAACACTCCACCGAAACCCCCCTACACTCCACCGAAACCGCCCTACACTCCACCGAAACCGCCCTACACCCCACCGAAACCGCCCTACGACCTCCCCTACAAGCCGCCCTACACTCCACCGAAACCGCCCTACACTCCACCCCGAAACTGCCCTCCTCAAACTCACCAACGACCTGCTAACCGCCAAAGCTAATGGCCACTACTCAGTCCTCCTACTCCTCGACCTCTCTGCGGCCTCCACACAGTCGGTCCACCCCCCCCTCCTCCTCAAAAAACTACACTCCCTCGGCCTCAGAGATTCTGCTCTCTCCTGGCTCTCATCCTACCTGTCACAACGCTCATTCAGCGTTACCTATAATGCTACCACCTCCCCCTCACTCCCCCTCTCTGTTGGGGTCCCTCAAGGCTCTGTCCTCGGGCCCCTTCTCTTCTCCATCTACACCTCCTCCCTTGGCCAACTCATACACTCTCACGGCTTCAACTACCACCTCTATGCCGACGACACACAAATCTATCTCTCAACCCCCCACCTCACCCCCTCGGTCTCCGCCCGAATCACACACCTACTGAGCGACATATCAGACTGGATGTCGCTCCACTTCCTTAAACTGAACCTCTCCAAAACCGAGTTTCTTGTCTTCCCCCCCAGCCCAGCCCGAACCCACCCCCCCCCATTGACTTCTCCATCACGTCCAACAACACCACCATCAAACCCGCCCCGCAGGCCAGAGTACTTGGTGTCATTCTGGACTCCAACCTATCCTTCCAGCCCCAAGTCCACTCTTTAACAAACTCGTGCAGACTCCGCCTCCGCAACATGCAGACTCCGCCCTCCGCAACATGCAGACTCCGCCTCCGCAACATGCAGACTCCACCTCCGCAACATCCACAAAATCCGCACGTTCCTAACCCCAGAAACCACTAAACAACTCATCCACTCCCTCATCATATCACGACTCAACTACTGCAACTCCCTCCTCACTGGCCTGCCTCGCCGCTGGCTATCCCCGCTTCAGTCCATCCTGAATACGGCTGCCAGACTCATTCACCTTTCCAACCGCTCCATCTCCGCCACCCCCCTCTGCCAATCCCTCCACTCCTCCACTCAGTGTCCTCCACCCCCCTCTGCCAATCCCTCCACTGGCCTCCAATCAGTGTCCTCCAACCCCCCTCTGCCAATCCCTCCACTGGCCTCCACTCAGTGTCCTCCACCCCCCTCTGCCAATCCCTCCACTGACCTCCACTCAGTGTCCTCCACCCCTCTCTGCCAATCCCTCCACTGGCCTCCACTCAGTATCCCCACCCCTCTCTGCCAATCCCTCCACTGGCCTCCATTCAGTGTCCTCCACCCCTCTCTGCCAATCCCTCCACTGGCCTCCATTCAGTGTCCTCCACCCCCCTCTGCCAATCCCTCCACTGGCTTCCGATTGCGCAACGGATCAAATTCAAAATCCTAACACTGACGTACAAAGCCGTCCACCATACTGCCCCGAACTACATCACTGACCTAATATCCAAGTACCACCCAACACGCACACTCCGCTCCTCACAAGACCTCCTTCTCTCTAGTTCCCTGGTCTCCTCCTCCCATGCCCGCCTCCAGGACTTCTCCAGGGTGTCACCCATCCTCTGGAAACTCCCTGCCCCAACCCATCAGATTATCACCTACTCTCCTCTCCTTTAGGCGCACCCTGAAAACCCATCTCTTCAGGGAAGCCTACCCCACCCCCTGCTAACTTGCCGACCTCCCCCACTCTTCCTACCACTCCATCCCCCACAGCTATCTCCTCCTGTGTCCACCATCCCCTCCCTCCTAGATTGTAAGCTCCCAGGATCAGGGCCCTCGATCCCCTCATGTATCACATTGTATTGGTATTGTTCTGTCACATGTTCTGTCCCCTCTGTAATGTACAGCGCTGAGCCAACTATTGGCGCTTTATAAATACTGTATAATAATATAATAATAACACGCCGGGGATGGACACATGGGATAACATGCCGGGGATGGACACATGGGATAACATGCCGGGGATGGACACATGGGATAACACGCCGGGGATGGACACATATGATAACATGCCGGGGATGGACACATAGGAGAACACGCCGGGGATGGACACACAGGATAACACGCCGGGGATAGACACACAGGAGAACACGCCGGGGATGGACACATAGGATAACACGCCGGGGATGGACACATGGGATAACACGCCGGGGATGGACACATGGGATAAAGACGCCGGGGATGGACACATGGGATAAGACGCCGGGGATGGACACATGGGAGAACACGCCGGGGGATGGACACATGGGAGAAGACGCCGGGGATGGACACATGGGATAACACGCCGGGGATGGACACATGGGATAACACGCCGGGGATGGACACATGGAGAAACGCCGGGGATGGACACATGGGATAAGACGCCGGGGATGGACACATGGGATAAGACGCCGGGGATGGACACATGGGAGAAGACGCCGGGGATGGACACACATGGGAGAAAGACGCCGGGGATGGACACATGGGATAACACGCCGGGGGATGGACACATGGGAGAAGACGCCGGGGATGGACACATGGGATAACACGCCGGGGATGGACACATGGGATAACACGCCGGGGATGGACACACGGGATAACACGCCGGGGATGGACACACGGGAGAAAACGCCGGGGATGGACACACGGGAGAACACGCCGGGGATGGACACACGGGATAACACGCCCGGGGATGGACACACGGGATAACACGCCGGGGATGGACACACGGGATAACACGCCGGGGATGGACACACGGGAGAACACCGGGGATGGACACACGGGAGAACACGCCGGGGATGGACACACGGGAGAACACGCCGGGGATGGACACACGGGAGAACACGCCGGGGATGGACACACGGGATAACACGCCGGGGATGGACACACGGGATAACACGCCGGGGATGGACACACGGGATAACACGCCGGGGATGGACACACGGGAGAACACGCCGGGGATGGACACACGGGAGAACACGCCGGGGATGGACACACGGGAGAACACGCCGGGGATGGACACACGGGAGAACACGCCGGGGATGGACACACGGGATAAGACGCCGGGGATGGACACACGGGATAAGACGCCGGGGATGGACACACGGGATAACACGCCGGGGATGGACACACGGGATAAGACGCCGGGGATGGACACACGGGATAACACGCCGGGGATGGACACACGGAAACACGCCGGGGATGGACACATGGGATAACATGCCGGGGATGGACACACGGGATAACATGCCGGGGATGGACACACGGGATAACATGCCGGGGATGGACACACGCAGGGATAACATGCCGGGGATGGACACACGGGATAACATGCCGGGGATGGACACACGGGATAACACGCCGGGGATGGGACACACGGGATAACACGCCGGGGATGGACACACGGGATAACACGCCGGGGGGATGGACACACGGGATAACACGCCGGGGATGGACACACGGGATAACACGGGACACATGGGATAACATGCCGGGGATGGACACATGGGATAACATGCCGGGGGTATGGACACATGGGATAACATGCCGGGGATGGACACATGGGATAACATGCTGGGGGGTTTACTGGCTGTAGAAAAATATGTCAAAAGCCAAAAACAGCCGCTGTAGAAACGTCCCGTGTGCAGGAGGACTGAGGGCTGTACTCGGGGTGTTTGGAAAACTCTGCTGACCGATGGAAACTGACTGCTGGAAAATGGAGGTTTAAAAACGTTGGTTTAACTGCGTTTGCATACTGCGTTTATGTGCGTTAATCCGCGTTTATGTGCGTTTCCGCGTATGTGCGTTTTTAGAAGCATTGTGAAAAGATGACCTCAGGAGACCCTCCCAAATGCCCAGAATGCACAAAAAACAGTAAATAATGAACTATTTCAGACATTTTGAGAGAAATAGAGAGAGCAGAAGCAGAGAGAGCAGTATGTGTGGAGATGACCTTTCATTCTGGTTGCATTCACTGTGGATCCCATCATGAGCAGAATGCGGTGCATTTTACCATTGTTTCCTTCACACGAAACCTGGAACTGACTGCGCCGGTGTACCGGGTCCATTTGAATACATTTTTTGATGAAGAAAAGAGGCTCTGGACAGCATTTGGATATGGACCTGTCAAAGAACATGTCTGAACGGAAACGCTTGTAAACGCAGTTAACCACCTTTACATGCATTTACAAGCATTTGGCGTTTGAAACGCCGGTAAAATCTACTCCTGAACACAATTTTGGTGCGTTCAAGAAAACGACTGTAAACTCAACTGCCTGTAAACGACTGTAAACTCAACTGACTGTAAACGTCTGTAAACTACTGTAAACTCAACTGCCTGTAAACGACTGTAAACTCAACTGCCTGTAAACGACTGTAATCGACTGTAAACGACTGTAAACTCAACTGCCTGTAAACGACTGTAATCGACTGTAAACGACTGTAAACTCAACTGACTGTAAACGACTGTAAACTCAACTGACTGTAAACGACTGTAAACTCAACTGCCTGTAAACGACTGTAAACTCAACTGCCTGTAAACGACTGTAATCGACTGTAAACGACTGTAAACTCAACTGCCTGTAAACGACTGTAATCGACTGTAAACGACTGTAAACTCAACTGCCTGTAAACGACTGTAAACGACTGTAATCGACTGTAAACGACTGTAAACTCAACTGCCTGTAAACGACTGTAAACGACTGTAATCGACTGTAAACGACTGTAAACTCAACTGCCTGTAAACGCCTGTAAAGGACGATGTGTATATGGAGACAGGAGAACATTAGGGGGAGTTCAGGGGCTGCTGAACAAAATGCAGAAAAGCTCCTGAATGTCAGTTTATCAGCTGCAGGGTACATATAGTTCTAATAAGTAATTACAGTTTCTATTGTAATCACATATTTACTCCCACGCCCGATTGCAGGACTTCTCCAGGACTTCCCCCATCCTCTGGAACTCCCTACCCCAATCCATCAGACTGTCACCTACCCTCCTCTCCTCCAGGCACTCCCTGAAAACCCTCCTCTTCAGGAAAGCCTACCCCGCCCTCACCTAACCACTGATCTCCTCCACTTCTCCCACCACTCCATCCCCCACAGCCACTTCCTCCTGTACCACTTCCCCTCCCTCCTAGATTGTCAGCTCCCAGGATCAGGGCCCTCCCCCCCTCGTGTATTGTATTGTTACTGTCTTGTCTCATGTTCTGTCCCCCCGTACAGCGCTGAGCATACCTTTGGTGCTGTATAAATCCTGTATAATAATAATGTTGCTGCGTTTCCTGATGGTTGGGTGGTTCATACAGCGGCCATGTTCTTGGAGCCGGAGGTCGGATCCTCCTGGGCGGTCCTGCCGGCAGTGGTAAAGCCATGGTGGTCAGAGCCGCGTGCAGCCGACTTCATCTCCATCTCTTCCAGGTAGGTGAGGGCCGGACATCCCGTCCGTGTTGTATGTCTGTGACGTCTGTGGGGTGCAGATCTGCATCATCGGTGGTGGGGGGGGGTTGTGCTCTGTTACTCAGTGGTGGGGGGTGTAGGGGGGGTCGTGCTCTGTTACTCAGTGGTGGGGGGTGTAGGGGGGGGGTCGTGGGGGGGGGGGGGGGTGTGCTCTGTTACTCAGGATGGGGGGGGGGTTGGGGGGGGGGGTTGTGCTCTGTTACTCATCGGTGGGGGTGCTCTGTTAGGGTGTGCTCTGTTACTCATCGGTGGAGGGGGGGGTTGTGCTCTTTACTCATCGGTGGGGGGGGTTGGCTCTGTTACTCAGGGGTGGGGGGGGTTGTGCTCTGTTACTCATCGGTGGGGGGGGGGGGGGTTGTGCTCTGTTCATCGGTGGGGGGGTTGTGCTCTGTTAATCACCGGTGGGGGGGGGTTATGCTCTGTTACTCCATCGGGGTTGTGCTCTTTTAGGGGGGGGGGTTGTGCTCTGTTACTCATCGGTGGGGGTTGGGTTGTGGGGGGGGGGTTGTGTGCTCTTTTACTCATCGGTGGGGGGGTTGGGGTTGGGGGGTTGTGCTCTGTTACTCATCGGTGGGGGGGGGTTGTGCTCTGGGGTGGGGGGGTTGTGCTCTGTTACTCATCGGTGGGGGGGTTGTGCTCTGTTACTCATCGGTGGGGGGGGTTGTGCTCTGTTACTCATCGGTGGGGGGGGGTTGTGCTCTGTTACTCATCGGTGGGGGGGGGGGTTGTGCTCTGTTACTCATCGGTGGGGGGGGTTGTGTGCTCTG